GATCCTTTTACCACTATATCTTTGTTGCTTTAAAATCTATTTTATCAGATACGAGAACTGCAACTCCTGCTTTTTATTTATTTATTTATTTATTTATTTATTTTTGCTCTCCATTTGGTTGGTCAATCTTTCTCCATCCCTTTGTTTTGAGTCTTTGTGTATCCTTGCATGTGAAATGGGTCTGGATGTAGCATACAGTTGGGTTTTGGCTGTATCTTTTGATTGAGGGATTTAGTCGATTTAAATTTAGGATTACTGCCATTTGATGTTAACTGGCTGTTTTATCCATTTGTTGATGTAAATTCTTTATGTTGATGCTCTTTACTTTTTGGTATATTTTTAGAAAGGCTAATACTGGTTGTTTCTATGTGTGATGCTTCTTTCAGAAGCTCTTGTAAAGCAGGCCTGGTGGTAATAAAATCTCTGAGTACTTGCTTGTTCATAAAAGATTTTATTTTTCCTTCAGTTGTGAAGCTTAGTTTGGCTGGATATGAAATTCCGGGCTGAAAGTTCTGTTCTTTAAGGATGTTGAATATTGGCCCCAACTCTCTTCTGGCTTGTAGAGTTTCTGCTGAGAGATCTGCTGTAAGTCTGATAGGCTTCCCCTTGTAGGTAACCTGACCTTTCTCTCTGGCTGCCCTTAGTATTTTCTCCTTTGTTTCAACCCTGGTGAATCTAACGATTATGTGCCTTGGGGTTGCTCTTCTTGAGGAATATCTTTGTGGTGTTCTCAGTATTACCTGGGGTTGAATATTGCCCTGCTTTGCTAGTTTAGGAAAATTTTCCTGAATAATATCCTGAAGGGCATTTTCCAGCTTGGATTCATTCTCTCCGTCGCATTCAGGTACACCTGTCAAACGTAAATTTGGTCTTTTCACATAGTCCCATATTTCTTGGAGACTTTGCTCATTCCTTTTTATCCTTTTTTCTCTAATCTTGTCTTCTCGTTTTATTTCATTAAGTTGGACTTTGACCTCTGATATCCTTTCTTCTGTTTGAACAATTCGAGTGTTTAAACCTGTGCATACTTCTCGGAGTTCCTGTATTGTATTCTTCAGTTCCATTAATTCACTTATATTCCTCTCTAAGTTGTCTATTCTCATTAGGATTTCATCAAACCTTTTTTCAAACTTCTTAGTTTCTTTACATTGGGCTGCAACATGTTCTTTTAACTCACAGAAGTTTCTTATTATCCATCTTCTGAAGCCTGATTCTGTTAATGGGATGTGCTCGTTCTCCATCAAGCCTTGTTCCCTTGTTGATGAGGAACTGTGATCCTCTTTAGAGGGAGAGGCATTCTGATTTTGAGTATTCTCAGCCTTTTTATGCTGGTTTCTTCCCATCATTGTAAATTAGGTCTCTGAGTGAACATCCAAGTTGTTAATTCCCAGGGCCGAAATACGAGCAACCCACTGCACCAGCCAAAACAGCGGCGTTAAGACTGATGGTGCTTTTCTGCCCAGGAATCTCCAGTCTGGCTTCCTTCTTGAGTCCCTAATAGGCGACTCTGCCTTCCTGGAACTCCAAACGTCGGTCAGAAGGGGAACCAGTCCCGTTTACTCTGCACCAGGAGCTGCTGTGCCAAGGTGCCAGCAAAACCGCTGCGCTGGCCACAAGAGTCGCACTGGCGACCCGTGTGGCTCCTCCACTGGGAATCTTCTGCTCCGTGAGCGACAAAAATTTGTTTGAAAGCGTGGCGTCCTCTCGTTCTCTGCGCTTTCACTGGGAGCTACAATCCTGAGATGTTAGCAGCAATCAGCCATCTTGGATCATTCCTCCAAATATTATATTTTCCTATTGACTTAAATTGTAATTTCAGTGTGGTGCTCACATGAAAAGTTCTTTTTAGTTACCCTTAAAATATCAGTATTTCATTAAGCATTTTCAGTTTCTTTATTCTCCCACCACTGCTAAGAATGTTAACAAGTAGGTAATACCAGGATATACAAATGTGTGTCAAAGTATACCCATAATATACCCACTGAGTATATATATAAAAGTAATATAGCAGTGTGTATACAAATAAGACTCCTGAATATGAAGAGACCTGGTTTCAAATCCTGGCTCTGCCACTTTCTTATTCAGATGACTTTGGAGAAATTACAAACTATAAGCTTCAGTTTCCTCACTGTAAATGGGGTTCATAATAATAAATTAGTAATGATAATGTGGATACACAGTAACAGTACCTAAACTTCATGGGATCACTTGAGTTTTAAATAAAATAATGCTTATATACAGTAAGTGATTAATAATTATTAGCTACCATCCTTTCCGTAAAAATAATCGCCAACTGCTTATGACTTGGACATTTAAAAAGCCACATCCTCTCAGTCATAGTTATTGAAATGTTTCAGGAAACTAAAGAATTAGTAGAATCTGCAAGGAGAAAAAAAAATGACTTGTGTTTTATGACTGAGGCTATGATTTTTAATTGTTATTCTTCATATTTCTCTAAAAGAATGTTGTATTCCTTTATTTCAGAGATGACCATTAATTTTAATTATTTATTATATGCCAGTTACTGTCTTAAATTTTTTTATTCAGTTCCATGAAATAGAGATCCCCATTTTACAGACAGTGAGACTAATGTTTGGAGAGGTTAAATTGCTTGCTCAAGGTCATAAAGCAAGAAGATTTCAGAAGCAGAATTGACAATCTCATCAACTCAAGTCAAATGTCTTTTCATTAAACCAAGAATATCCAATGACTGTATCTCCCATTCACTATTACTAGGTGAAAGTCTTATTGTATTTGTTTTACATGACTTGGAGAAGAAAAAAGTTTATGAAACAAGAAAAATATTATACAACTATAACCTTCCATAACCTTTAAGTCTAAATTTGCAATCTGAATATTTATTTTATCAACCCTTGCATACATTCTGTGCCATGAAGCAGTGTAAGGGTTAGTTCATTAACATTTGCTTTACACTGTTAATTGATGAAGGACCCACTGTTTTTGCTTACATCAAAAATTTATTCATAAAGTTTTAAACTAATAATCCCATGCTATTACTCAATGTATTATTATGCTTCCTTCTCTGGCAGAACCTTGTAGAGTCGTTAGGTGTTTTCTTATTGTTGTTAATGATATACATAGGAATGAAAATCCTTTTTCCAGACAATATGCAATCTGAGATTTGCTTTTATTCAGGGCTTTTGATACACAAAGAAAAAAAACACACACACGTACAATGGCTATGCACAAAGAAAACTTTTTTTTAAATTTAGTACAGAGAAAGGAGAATCAATGAAATACATTCTGGTCCATTCATCTTTCACTTTCATTTAGAAAAAGGATTTAAAAACAAGTACAAGAATAAGTTAGATCTATATTATGAACAGTTAAGAAAGGACAAAGAAAAGAAAAAACTGGACTAGTGTTATCCTAGTAATGTTTTGAGATTAGCAGTCTTCAATGGGAAAATGTCACCTACAATTTTTTATTCAGTCTGAGCCATCAATATCAGTTATTATCTGTGGACAATGCTGTTTGAAATGTATCATGGTGCTCTAGCAATTCAGAACATATATTCCTATATTTAAAGGTATTGTCAGCTTTTAGCTTTAAACTAGAAGTATATTTTAGAATTAATGACTTCAGTAAAAAACAAGGTATTTCATTATACATACATACAGGAAAATTTCAAGTTCTAATAGATTAAAATGCCATTCTTTTAGTATTTATCTTGGAACTTCCACGGTGACAATGATATGACTCTTAAAACACCGCCTTTTGAGGGACACGGGTTACCTTAGTATAAAACCCCTGAAGGTCCTTATATCGGAGGAAAAATACATTGATACATTGTTGTAGATCTTAAAAAAGAATCCTCATCTACTATTTTCACACTGAGAAATCACAAAATTATCTGTAATTCAATGGAAAAAATCCAAAGGAATAAATTAACCACTTCTCATAGTTCTTAAAATGTTTTTAGAAAATTTCAACAGATTACAGCTACTGACTAAAGGAAAACTTATTTTTTATGGAGCAGTACTCTGGCCATGGTAGCACTTCACAATAAAGTGGACAGAAAGCCAGAAAGACCTCAATTCATATCCTGATTTAACATGATTAGGATCTCCCAGGTTTCAGTTTCCTCACTTGTGAAACTAATGGAGTTAACTCATTTAATGTTGGTTAAATGTCAACTATGTGCCAAACCTTGTGTTAGCAATGAAAGTTTATTACTTAATTTTTGTTTTAAGTAAATAAAACCATGGTCCTTGTGTTGCAAATCTTGTGAAGAGACAAATAAATGCAACATGATAAACACTATGAACAAACTACTATGTCTGAGCAAATCAAAAAGACTGCAGAGGGGATAGTCAGTTGAGTTGAGACTTGAATGAGCATGAGTTGCTAAGAGATGGGGATTACAGATATTTCTTGAAGAAAGAAGACACTGCACGGACAAGATGACAAAGGCAAAAAGAGAGAGGTTTACCATAGAGGATGCACAGTCTTGGATTAGAGAAAACTGGCGGGAGATGCCACACTGAGGAATCTGACCTTTAAGCAATAAGCCACTTAAACATTATAGGTAAGGTTCCTCCTACACTAAAATTCTGGAAATTGGCTGTAGGCCCAACCAAGGTAAATTCAATTTCTCCACCACTTCATTTGAAGTTGTTGAGAGTCTCTTCAAGCAAAAAAGCGAAACTATTCAAATTTTGATGCTGCCATTATGAAACCTAAAAGACCTCTCTTAAGTGATAAATTTTAGGACCAGCAATAGATTTCCATTGTTATTAGAGTCATAAAGCATTCTAAAAGCACAAGATATGTAACAAGTCAATTACTTCTGTACTTTATCAAATACAAAACTGTATTTGATAATAATATTTAATATTCACCTATAAATGTGAATATTAAAAACAGATATTGAATTTACATATCCCCAAAAATGTTTTTTCATACTTTGTTCAAAGCAAGCTTCATTGTGAACATCAATTAACTAGAAGCACCTAAAGAGAAGATAAAGCCCTATTTACCTGTGTTCTGCAGGAACAGGGGGTGGCCACACAGCAGGATCTCTAAATGGTTCATCTTGACAGGACACAGGGAAATCTGGAGGCTTGTCGATTTTAAAACTTTCTAAAGTGCTGACAATACTTTTAACTTGTTCATATTCTTCCAATAATTCCTGCCGAACCTTAAAAAAGATAGGCTTTATGCTAGAAACTGTTTAAAGACTTCATAACTTGTAAATAATAAATTGCTATAGAGTGCATGTTTTAAGGTCAAAGTATGAAAAATGAATCATTAAAACATTCAAAAACACAAAGAACGATTTCACGTAATACAGAAAGAAGGGCAGAAATTGGTTTGAAAAAACATAATTCTATACCTTTTAATAAGGAAAGTAGTTACATATCTTTCAAAATGGAATTCCATTTCTACAAAAGAATGTGATGATCATGAATACAATTGAAAACAAGCAACTAAGTAGGTGACAAGTTAACCATTCCCAGAAATCTAAAATATTATGCTAAATATTTTTAATGTATTTGTAAATAGATTTGAAAAAATTGTAAGCCAAAATTTTCAACACCACTTCCTATTCCCAGTATTACTGAATATAAAATGCCTGTCACGAGTGTCTGAAAGTTAGAAGTGATATAATATTATAAATTACAAACTTCCAGGTTTGTTTTGTATTCTTCTGAGACAGTCTCACTCTATTGCCAGGCTGGAGTGCAGTGGCACAATCTCAGGCCACTGCAACCTTTGCCTCCCGGGTTCAAGCAGTTCTCCTGCCTCAGCCTCTCAAGTAGCTGAGATCATAGGTGCATGTCACCATGCCCAGCTGATTTTTATATTTTTAGTAGAATCCTTTATAAAAAGAATGAAAATAGAATCCTTTATAAAAGTCCTTTAGCTGATTTTTATATTTTAGTAGAAAAAAAATTTTTTTATATCTTTTTACCATATTGGCCAGGATGGTCTCGATCTCCAGACCTTGTGATCTGCCTGCCTTGGCCTCCCAGAGTGGTGGGATTACAGGTATGAGCCACCGCACCCCTGTTTTTATTTAAATTCTCCTTCACCTGAAATCGGAATCATTTTGGCCTTATTTAAATTATTTCAAGTTCTGAATAAAGTTTATTTTTATATCAAAGACAAAATTTTTCCTGTATTTAAAAAACTTAACTGAGCATATATTAGGAGGAAATTCCTGTGTTTAAAACTCTGAGCCCAAACTAATTTTCAAAAGCAAGCAGATAAGTATTAAAAATTACATTCAAGACCAGTCTGGGGAAACAAAAATATTACCCCAGGCATAACAGCACGAGGCTGTAGTTCTAGCTACTCAGGAGGCTGAGGCAGGAAAATCACTTGGGAGTTTGAGCTATAATGAGCTATGATCATGCTACTGCACTCCAGCCTGGGCAACAGAGCAAGACTCCATATCAAAAAGAAAAAAAGAAAATTACATTTATAAAATCATTTTAACAATTCTGGTTTTTTTTAACCAGAGAGCACATTTTACTGTAAAGCAAAGTATAAGAAAGTTTCTCTTATCATTATATTGAATAATATATTAAAAGGAATATATGAAAGAGTTACAGATCCAAAGAAAAAGCTAGGTAAAATTCAATTGCTAATACATACAATTACACTATCCTGGGATATGCTATACTGGAAGAAATGTAATTTCAGAACCCAATGGAAAGAAGCATAGTAGAAATATCTGAGTAGAAATGGTCACTATTTAACATACACAATTAGGAACATACCAAAAATTATTTCCATAACAGATTAATGAAACACCCTGCCTGTGGCTAACAGGAAGGATAGAAGAAAACAACTAAAATGTTCAGCCTGAGTTAGAGTAAGTATATTGTTCTCAATGAACATAATTTGGTAACATTTAATTAGGAAAATAAGCCAAATTCACCCTCAAAATGTAGGAAAACATCAATTTCTGACTAATGGAAAAATTAGACAAAACACTTGAAAGGCATTAGTACATTAAAAAGGAAACGTCAAAGAAACACTCGACTTTGTACTTTTAAGTTTTAAAAGATCATAATTTTAAAAGTGCGAAGTGTTTGCATTGGCAGCACATATACTATAACTGGAATAACAGAGACAATCAGCACATCCCCTGTGCAGGATGCACACATTCCTGAAGTGCTCTGTATTTTTTTACTTAATGCTTTCTAAAAAGGCTGTTACGCTATTTTAGTATAACAGGTGAAAAATACAAGCTTAAATAATAAGCCCTTATAAAAACAAAAGGCAATTTTGTTTAACTAAATATCACTGAAGATAGACAGATGATTTATTTCCTTAAATAAAGATATATTGCTTGTAAGTATGATGTGCAAAAATTCTTTTTTAAAAGTTACAATTAATTTGGAACCGGGGCAGCAAAGCAAGAACTATGGTAAAAATACTGATCAATTAAAACATTAAATTTAAATTAAACTTAAAGAGCAGTAAGTGGGGAAATTAAAATTCAAGTTTTTATTAACTATCTTATTAAATAAGCAAATTATACAGTCAAAAGACAGCAAATACAGTAATGTTTTTATCAGATTATTGACTCATTTGCATTTTTAAGGAGTCTTTCAGAAGAGGAGTTTTGTAAAATGGATCAAAACAACATGTAAAAATAAAAGGGAAAAGCTCAAGTATGAATACTTTATTTCAGGTTCAGCACAGTGGCTTACACATGTAATACCAGTGCTTTAAGAGGCCAAGGCAGAAGGACTACTTGAGGCCAGGAGTTTGAGACCACCCTGGGCAACACAGCAAGAGCCAGTCCTTACAAAAAACTTAAAAATTAGCTGGGCATGGTGGTGTGAACCTGTAACCCTATCTACTTAGGAAGCTATGGTGGAAGGATCACTTGAGCCCAGGAGTTTGAGGCTGCAGTGAACTGTAATGGCGCCAATGCACTCCAGCCTGGGTGACAGAGCAAAACTCTGTCTCTTAAAAAAACAAAAGGAAGAAGAAAGAAAGAAAGAATAGCCGGGCACAGTGGCTCATGCATGTAATCCTAGCATTTTGGGAGGCTGAGGCGGGCCGATCACAAGGTCAGGAGTTCAAGACCAGCCTGGGCAACAAGGTGAAACCCCACCTCTATTAAAATACAAAAAATTAGCGGGGCGTGGTGGCAGATGTCTGTAATCCTAGCTACTCAGGGGACTGAGGCGGGAGAATCACTTGAACCTGAGAGGCGGAAGTTGCAGTGAGCCGAGATTGTGCCACTGCACTCCAACCTGAGCAACAGAGCAAGACTCCGTCTCCAACAAAATAAAAGAATGAATGAAATACTTTATTTCAAATGTCTGTAGTCACACAACTAGGTAACTAATTACGAAAAGAGAAAAAAGTAAAAGTAGATTCAATTAGAATTAAATATCTTCAAAACATACCTCATGGAATATATGATCACAAAAACATAACATTACATAAGATACTAGAAAATTATTCAAAAATATATTTTAAATATATTTCAGTATTCAGATATATAGAAAATATTTCCATCTCAAACTCATTTTCCAACTCTAATCTCTCAAGTATAATAGGGTACTGCTTTCCTAACACATCTAATACTTCAACATCATCTTACCTGTTGCCATTTGCCTTTGATAGCTGGATCTCTTACTGACTGGCAATGTCTCTGAATCTGTTGTATCACCCCCTGATAATACACCATTGATGAGTCATAATTTCCAAGAAGGGCATATTCTCTTCCTTTCTTTGCATTATCACATATCTCAGCCAAATTCATCTTCTTTCAGAGACCTAAACAAAATATAATGACTTTTTAAAATTTTTCACACTGACTTTAAAACATTTATTATTCTTTAAAATGTTTAAAACTACTCTTTTTTTGAGACAGAGTCTCACTTTGTTGCCCAGGCTGGAGTGCAGGGGCATGATCTTGACTCACTGCAACCTCACCTCCCCAGTTCAAGTGATTCTTGAGTAGCTGGGACTACAGGGATGTACCATCATGTCCAGCTAATTTTTGTATTTTTAGTAGAGACAGGGGTTTCACTGTGTTGGCCAGGCTGGTCTCGAACTCCTGACCTTGGGCAGTCCACCTACCTCAGCCTCCCAAAGTGCTGGGATTACAGGTGTGATCCATCGTGCCCAGCAAGGAACTCCTTTGAAAGTCAAGAGTTAACTTTCATTCTTTGAGGCTATCTGAATGCATCTTATAATACTAAACAAAATTTTCAAATTTGGAAGTATAAAGGAGATTACAAAAGAACACCCATGGAAATAACAGGAAGAGACATTACACAGCTCTGAACTACTAATTTACTTATAGGTACATAAAATTGGACCCTAGTTTTCCTTATTCCTTTATAATTACCATAGACTGCAATAATAGATGAACTTGTTTTGTTTTATTCAATTTATTCTTGACAACATAAATAAGTATCACATAAATATAGGAATGTTACATTTCCCACTGAAGTCAGTTGAAACTATAAAAATTAGTTCTCACTAAAATTTATTGGCCCAAGACAAAAAGTTATATTTAAAGAACACATTTTAAAGGAACAGTCTATAGTTGTCCATATACCATTTATACTCATGTAATTGCTTCATAAACTTAAATCTAAGCAAACACCTATAAATTAAACTATAAGAACCCCAACTTGTAATCTTCTAAGACTGCTTCATTTTCTATAACTCTTTGGCCATGCAAATAACTACCATTATTTTCCTTTCTATGAGATGTTAGTTAGAATACCCTCTAAATATCTGGCTTCCACCAAAGCTCCAGTCCAGTAATTCTGGCTTTTCTTCCAGGCTTTCCAAAGGTCTCCTAGAAACATCCAAGGCTTCTATGCAAAGACACTTTCCTCCCAAGACTAAAAAGAATCGGAAGTCCAGAGATACAGGAGAATGGTATCCCGAAAAAGGATCCAAATTACCTTCTTATTTCCACAAACAGTAAACTAATGAACACATATAGAGAAGAAAAACAAAATACTTCTCTACGCCTTGCTTAGGGAATTAAACTTCGGTTTGGGGAGCCTGACTTTTCCTCTCTGACTCTCAATCTCTTATCTATTATTCTTCAGGGGCTCAAAAATTTTTCCTGGAAATTAACCATAACTAGTTCTAGGCATTTCAATGGGCTGCAACACATTCTTGAAAACAAATGTTTCTTTATGTGTTTGGCATGTTATTTGCCCCTTACAGGTTCCCTGAAGGTGAGTTATATTACTTGAGAATCACATTGCAGCAAATAGTACATTACTGATGTGGTTTGGCTCTGTGTCCCCACCCAAATCTTACCTCGAATTGTCATAATTCCCACATGTCAAGGGAGAGACCAGGTGGTAGTAAATGGATCATGGGGGCAGTTTCCTTCATGCTGTTCTTATGATAGTGAGTAAGTCTCATAAGATCTGATGGTTTTATAAGCATCTGGTATTACCCCTGCTGGCATGCATTCTCTCTCCTGCTGCCCTGTGAAGAGGTGCTTCCACCATGATTATAAGGTTCCTGAGGCCTCCCCAGCCATGCAGAACTGTGATTCAATTAAATCTCCTTTCTTTATAAATTACCCAGTCTCAGGTTTGTTTTTTTTTTTTTGAGACGAAGTTTCGCTCTTGTTACCCAGGCTGGAGTGCAATGGCGCAATCAGTCTCAGGTTTTTTGTTATAGCAGTGTGAGAAAGGACTAATACAGATTAGTACCAGGAGTGGGGTGCTGCTAGAAGGATACCTAAAAATGGGTAAGTGACTTTGGAACTGAGTAACAGGCAGAGGTTGAAACAGTTTGGAGGGCTCAGAAGAACACAGAAAAATGTGGGAAAGTTGGAACTTTCCAGGGACTTGTTGAATGGCTTTGACCAAAATGGTAATAGTGATACAGACAACACAAGCTGAGGTGGTCTTAGATGAAGATGAGGAACTTGTTGGGAACTTGAATAAACATGACCCTTACTATGCTTTGGCAAAGAAACTGGCGGCATTTTGCCCCTGCTCTAGAGATCTGTGGAACTTTGAACTTGAGAGAGATGATTTACGGTATCTGGCAGAAGAAATTTCTAAGGAGCAAAGCCTTCGAGAGGTGATTTGGGGGATGCTCTTAAAAGCACTCAGTTTTATGCATTCACGAAGATACAGTTTAGAATTGGAATTTATATTTAAAAGGGAAGCAGCACATAAAGGTTTGGAAAATGTGTAGCCTGACAACGAAATAGAAAAGAAAAATCCATTTTCTGGGAAGAAATTCAAGCCAGCCACAGAATTTACATAAGCAACAAAGAATCAAAAGCTCATCACCAAGACAATGGGGAAAATGCCTCTAGGACACATCAGGGATGTTTGGCTACCCCTCCCATCACAAGCCCAGAGGCCCAGGAGAGAAAAAGGGGTTTCCTGGTCTGGGTCCAGGGCCCCCCTGCTATATGCAGCCTTCGGACTTGTGCCTTGCACCCAGCCGCTCCAGCCATGGCTTAAAGGGGCCAACGTACTGCTCAGGCCATGGCTTCAGAAGATCCAAGCCCAAAGCCCTGGCAGCCTCCACATGGTGTTGGGCCTGCAGGTGCACAGAAGATGAGAATTGAGGTTTGGGAACCACCACCTAGATTTCAGAGGATGCATGGGAATGCCTGGATGTCCAGGCAAAAGTCTGCTACAGGGGCAGGACCCTCATGGAGAACCTCTGCTTGGGAAGTATGGAAGGGAAACGGGTGGTTGGAGTTCCCACTAAGTCCTGTGAGAAGAGGGCCAACATCCTCCAGACCCCAGAATGGTATTCACTGACAGCTTGCACCATGCATCTGGAAAAGCCATAGGCACTCAAGGCCAGCCGTGAAAGCAGCCAGAAGGTGGGGATATATCCTGCAAAGCCACAGGGGTGGAGCTGCCCAAGGCCATGGAAACCTACCTCTTATATCAGTGTGACCTGGATGTCAGACATGGAGTCAAAGGAAATCATTTTGGAACGTTAGGACTTTACGACTGCCCTATTGGACTTCAGACTTGGGTCCTATGGCCCCTTTGTTTTAGCCAATTTCTTCCATTGGGAATAGGTGTATTTGCCCAGTGCCTGTACTTCCATTGTATGTAGAAAGTAACCCACATACTTTTGATTTTACAGGCTCATAGGTGGAAGGAACTTGCCTTGTCTCAGATGAGACTTTGGACTCAGACTTCTCAGTTAATGCTGGAATTAGTTAAGACTTTGGGGGACTGCTGGAAAGGCATAATTGTGCTTTTTAATGCTGAGGACATGAGATTTGGGAAGGGCCAGGGGCAGAATGATACGGTTTGTCTCCATGTCCCCACCCACATCTCACCTTGAATTGTAATACTCACATGTCAAGGGCAGGAGCAGGTAGAGGAGACTGGATCGTGGAGGTGGTTCCCCCATGCTGTTCTCATGATAATGAGTGAGTCTCATGAAATCTGATGGTTCTGTAAGCATCTGGCATTTCCCCTGTTAACATTCATTCTCTCTCTTGCCCCCCCTGTGAAGAGGTGTCTTCTGCCATAATTCTAACTTTCCTGAGGCCTTCCCAACGATGCAGAACTATGAGTCACTTAAACCTCCTTTCTTTATAAATTACCTAGTCTCCATTATTTCTTCACAGCAGCATGAGAATGGACCAATACAACTACTTTTACCCAGTAACATATTTCAATGTCCAGTGGATCTATCCAAAGAATACAGGACAACCATGCAAAGTCTCATCTTCAAATTTAGAACATTAACACAAAACAATATGGTCTTATTATAATTAGTAATATGTAATTAATAAATCCAGTAGAAACAAAGATGCTCTATAAATTATTTCCCTTTAAAGTCTTTGTGAAACAAAACCTTAATCCTGCTCACAAGTATAGACACAAAACTATGAAAGTTAAAAGTATCTTGATAATAAAGGAGAAGTTGGCAAACCTGTCCTGTGCAAGTAAATATTTTAGGCTTTGAGGATTAACAAATGAAATGAGGATATTATATAACTACTTATATAATCAGACAAAAATGTCCATAATTCTTATTGATGCAATTCAAAATATTATAGAAACAATAACAGAGTACAACTTTTTGTAAGACAGGTTGACTAAGAAGAAAGATTTCTGGAGACAATATTTCACTTAGTTGGGATTCAAAGTTAGTGTTCCCTATCACCAAAATCAATCACAAATGTTCATACATTCTAATGTTTACCTTGAATACAACAAATTTCATGTTTGAAAATGTAGTTTTTCAAAAGTACCAGTTAGGTGCTACTGCAAACTGATAGTAAACCACAAGTATATAATTTCAATTCAGCATAATTGTTGTTTAGAAGCGATTAGCTTTTGATTCCTTGTTACTTATGCAAATTTCTGTGGCTGGCTTGAATTTCTCCCCATAATGACTCATTATAATAAGACCATATTGTTTTGTGTTAACGTTCTAAATTTGAAGATGAGATTTTACATGGTTATCCTGTATTCTGTATCCTGTATCCACAGAATACAGGATAGATCCAATGGACATTGAAATTTGTTACTGTATAAAAGAAGTTGTAAAGAATTTACTCTTCTCTTAGTATTTACCTTTTAGCATGTAATTAATTGCAAATTAATCATTCCAATTAAAGGTTAGGTAAAACGTGCCTCAACGGTACAGTTAAATGGAAATTTCCTTTGCACTTGCATCAAGTTCTAAGAAATGTTGCTGAAACTGTAGTTTGAACTCAGAAAACATACCTATTGCAGTACTGGGTAGGAATACAGACTTTACTTCTTTGTTTTATTATGGCAGCATGGAAAGCTATATAA